TCTCTCTCCCTACTCTGTCTCTCTCTCTCTGTCTCTCTCTCCGTCTCTCTCTCTCGTAGATGGGCAATTTTTCACTCTTGGCTTGTGGCGCATGTCCTTGTACTACTGGTTTCAGAGACCAGGAGTTTAATGTTAGGAAGGTGGGGGCTAAGACATCGAAAGTTTGCGGCTGCCACCGTGGCAGTTGAGGGTTACGAAGGAGCACTGTTCGCAGTTTTGGCTGCAAAAGATCACACTACATGAACTTTTGGGTGCAATGGGGTGTGCTGTTCAAATTTCTGGTTGTGAAAAGGCACTCTGTTTGAAAGGGCACTTATGCTGAGTGGCACACAGCCGCGCATGCCCAGGCAGGTGGGCAGACCACTGGGGAAAACTAGATAGGCAGGAAAAGGGGCAAAGATTTGAAGAAGAAAAAAATAATATTTATGGCCTTAGGCTGGCATTGCACGTGGCCTGAGCAGTTAGAATTCCAATGTATCTCCAAATATCGTAATGGGTCACCCAAGGGGGGGGGGGGGGGGGGGGGGGGGGGGGGGGTATGAACAGGGTTAAAGGGTTTGAAAGGGGGTCTTAAAGGGGTCTAAAGGAGTTTAAAGGGTCCGTATCCCAAATGGTCCCATCTCCATATCGCTTTTTCAATGACAGCCGGCCCTAACGGTCCCAACCTCAATCCCATTCCTTTTCTACCGCTAAGTAGTCTAAAATACATACAGCGACCAGAAGGCCAATTTGTCTTTCCCGTTTTTTTCCTCTCTTCTCTTTTCCATAATTTCGGACAGTTTTCTCTGAAATAAATCTCTGTATCAGCTTCCCCGGGCCTCAAATGACTTCGGAAAAAAAAAGAAAGAAGAAGACTTCGGAATATAAAGGTGCAAGGAACATGAATATGGACGAAGCACAGAAATCCAGAATGCAAAATCACACTGAAGTCTCAAGTAGTCAAAGCCAGAGCAGATAGCACAATGGAACCGAGTAACCATCCAATTGAGAATGATACAGAAGAATCGTGAGTCAATGTCCAAGCCCAACAGGGCAACGCCAACAGCATAACCCAATGTAGCTCTCTCTTGTGAATGGCGCCAGGCGCCCTATCTACTCTACAGACTAAGCCTACAACTACAGCAATGAAAGCAACCAGACAACTTGACTACCAGCGAGTGATGATGTCAACACCAATGCCGACCTCCACCTCCACCAGGTACGTGTCCTCTTCATCCACACTCTTCCTTGTTACCCACACAGCGCCCTTCACCTCCGAAGAACCACCTTCGCCCTCACCTTCCCTGTGCCCTATGCAGCCCGGCTATGGCCACCAAGCGCCCAGTACACAGGCAGCGCCCTACCGCCTAGCGCTAGCCTGTCTCATCCCAGCGCAGCGCAGCTCTGCACAGCGCAGCACCTCGCATTCGCGCAGCGTGCCCGCAATGCCTGCATTGGCCAAGATCCCTGCCCACTCGCCCTGCTTGCCTATATGCCAGTGCTGCGTGTGGGCGGCCTCCCTTCAGCCTGCGACTGGGCCCCAGTGGCTGAACCCAGCCCGATACAGTTGAGGCCCGGGGCATGCAGTTGCGCCTCTTTCATCAAGGCCTGTGGCCAGATTCATATAGTGGGCCGATTTCCCTTTGGCATTTTCGCCCTCTATCCCCAGCATGCATTGTCGGCCTCACGTTCAAGTGCCCAGGGCCTAACTAACTCAGAGGCCCTGGGATCTCCACATTTGCAGAGATTCAAGACTCGGTGCACTCCAACCAACTGGCATGCTGCAACTGTATGGACCCCACTTCGGGAAATGTTTGTAAGAGGGCTCTTGTTGATTTGCTGGCCCGCCTTCACTTAGGGCGGGCACTAGGCTTGCTGGGCCCTTAGCCCAGAACATGGACATCATGGCAAGGCCCCTTCTTGAGGTCCCAATCCTCACATTCCATCCCCCTTAGCTTCGAAAGTCCGCTGAGATGCTTACTTCGCAGGTGCCTTCCCTTTCAGCAGTCTCTCATATTCTGCCACCACATGAGGAGCTGTCTCAATCAGTTCCTCTCTGGTAAACCACCGATCTTCTTTTGGATCCGTATGATGCCTGAATCTGACGCGATACTCTCTCTTGGGTTTAGGAGGTCTTCCTCGACCCAACGACTTCGGAACAGGCATATCCCTGTGATCCACAATGTCGTTGATGTCCACTTGACCATCCATGGTTGGGGCCAGCATCGATCCTGGAAGGGAATTGATCTGTCTCAGCGAAAGGTGCAAGCTTTGAGGCATGAAAGACTGGGTGAGTGCATAGGTGTCCAGGGACACGAATGACATATGTGGGGCCATCCATCTCATCTACCACTATATCCAGGACTTCCCAGGGACCAAAGTATTGAGGCATTAGTTTGCGAGAGATTCCGAATTCCTGTCCTAACTCACTAGCCTTGACCCAAACACGTTCCCCTACCTGAAATGTAGACTGTCTACGGTGTTGATTCTCAGAAGCAATCATTGCTTGCTGAGCTTTCTTCATGTGCTCGACAGCTTCTTGCAACAACTTCTCATACTGCACACCATACTCAAGTGTGCCTGGAGTTGCAGCGGGTCGGTTTTCAGGTAGGAGGAAGTCTAATGCTGATCTAGGCTTCCGTCCCAAGTGTAGCTGATTAGGACTAACGCCAGTACTGCTATGGACAACATTGTTGTACAAGCTGGCGATGAGAGGCAACTTCTCATCCCAGTCATCCTGGCTGGGCTTGATGTAATGCCTCAGCAAGTGCTGTACGACTCTGTTCATTTGCTCGGCTTGTCCGTTGGCTTCGGGATGATTCCCTGAAGTCATCTGAAGTTGACTGCTCATCTGTTCTGCAGTCTTCTTCCACAGCTCACTTGTGAATCGGACATCTCGGTCACTAACGATTGACTTTGGTAAACCAAAGTCACGCACCCAGTTGTCTTTGAACAACTTGATGACATAGTCAGTTCTTGCGGTCTCTGGCATAGCCACTAGTCTAGCGTACTTGGTGAATCGATCGATGATGACGAAGATGTGCCTCTTGCCACTCTTACTAGTCACCAGGGTGTCCATGAAATCCATGGAAACACTCTGTCCTGGACCAGTAGGAATAGGCAAAGGCTTCAACAACCCAAGCGGTGCTTGAGTTTGCGGCTTGTCCCGCTGACAGACCTGACAGGTATCTACGTACTTCTTTGCGTCATCTAACATTCCTGGCCACCAAAATCGCTGTACTAGGTTAGCAATCGTCTTCTTGTAGCCAAAGTGCCCAGTTGCGTCATGACATTCGCCTAAAAACAAACTACGCAATCGCTCACTAGATGGAACTACTAATCTTTTTATTCCGGCCTTATCAAGATAGAGTAACCCGTCCACCATCACAAACTCACTTTCTGTGGCCTTGTCTTTAGCCTGAAGTTTGCGCATGATGTCCATCGTGACAGGGTCTTCCTGATAGGCTCCCACCAATGATTGAGTTACTTCTTCAGATACGCCAAAGTCAGAAACTAGCGCACCTAGGTAGTTTGCTCTACGTGATAGCGCATCAGCAACCTTGTTATACTCTCCCTTCAGATACTCAAGCTTGAAGTCATATTGGTCTATGACCTCAATCCATCGCTTGAGTGCGTCAGAAAGAGCCGGTTGAGTCTTGATCCATTTGAGGGTCTGATGATCAGTCCTCAAGTAGAAGAACCTTCCCAATAGGAAGTGTCTCCAATGGACAAGTGCTTTGTATAGAGCATAGAGTTCCCTTTCGTAGGTGGACTTTGCCAACTTCTTCGATGGCATCTTCTTGCTCATGTACTCAATCGGCCTCAACTTTTTCCCATCCTGCTAAGCCAGCACTGCGCCAATGCCATATTGGCTTGCGTCAGTGGTCACTATGAATGGCTTCTGAGGATCAGGAACCATGAGGACCTCATGATTCATGAGTGCATGCTTCAATCTCTTGAAAGCACCCTCGCACTCATCACTCCAGTCCCACAGCGTGTCAAGTCAAGTTAGATCAGTCAAAGGAGAGGCGACTGTAGAATAGTTCTTAACGAAGTTCCTATAGTAGCCGCACATTCCTAAGAATGATCTGACCTCAATGACTGTCTGAGGTCGTGGCCAGTCTCGAATACTAGCCACCTTCGCATCTTCCGGCCTAATCCCCTCCGCAGATACTTCATGACCCAAGTATAGTATCTTAGTGCGACCAAATTCACACTTCTCTAAGTTGATCTTATACTTGTGCTGTCGCAGGAGTGAGAGAACTGTCTCAACATGTTGTGCGTGCTCCTCGACAGACTTACTAAAAATAAGAATGTTGTCTAGATAGACCACGACAAACTTATCTAAATGGTCATGGAAGATCCGATTCATAGCGTGCTGGAATGTTCCCGGCGCATTGCAAAGACCAAAAGGCATCACTACAAACTCATACAGACCATAACGAGTCTGARAAGYTGTCTTGTGTTGGTCCTCARGCCTTATAGCGATCTGATGATAGCCGGATTTCAAGTCTATCTTGCTATAGTACTTGCATCCCTGCACCCTATCCAATAGGTCGTCTATGCGAGGTAGAGGCTCTGCGTTCTTCACAGTGATGGCATTGAGGCCTCTATAGTCAATGCACATCCTCAATGTACCCCCCTTTTTCGGTACGAATAGCACGGGAGATCCGTAAGGGGAAGCACTAGGCCGAATCCATCCCTTTTCTGTCAGCTCCTTGAGCTGTCGCCGAAGTTCATCTCACTCGGCGGGAGCCATCCTATAGATCCTTCCCTTTGGGGTCTTACTCCCTGGAATGTTTTGACGGCCTCCCTTTCTCAGAGACATACACAAGGTACAAACCCTCCTCTTGGTTTTGCTTGTAGTAATTGTAGAACGCTGATGCACACAAGCAGCCATAGGTATCTATAATACTACTGGCCTTGAACTTAGTCAATCTGACAGTTCGGCCATCGGGCAACTTATGCTTGAGCACCTTCNCACACAAGCAGCCATAGGTATCTATAATACTACTGGCCTTGAACTTAGTCAATCTGACAGTTCGGCCATCGGGCAACTTATGCTTGAGCACCTTCTTATCCCAGTCGAACTGGGGCTTAGCAACTTCGAGGTAGTACATGCCTAACAACATGTCGAATGGTAAGTCGTCGCTAACCAATAACGAAATCTTATGATTCAGTTCTCCTCCTCCATAGGAGAAGGTACAGACTACGTCCTTGATATAGTCTGTTAAAATCATGCGCTCCTTGTTTGCCAAAGTACATGCTACATGTCTATTAAGGTGCCGTACCCGGTCCTGTAGGTGCAGCCTTTCCAAACAGTTGCGACTTATGTAATTCCACGTAGAGCCTATGTCTATGAAGGCACCACATTTGTGGCCTCCTACATCGACTTCCACCACAAAATGTTCCCCTCTAGGACCTTTCCTTAGCGCCACCCAAGACTCGCGAGGGTCCTTGTTTGGCCACTCACTCTCCAAGTCTTCTAAGGCATCAGACACATCTAACGTACAGAGCATAGTTTGGTCTAGATGAGTCTGCGGGGTGACTAAAGAGTCATTAGCTTTGGCCTTCTCGTGAAGTGGGGAGGGTATCTGGCCCACTTCACCAAGAGCAGAAGCAGCTAAAACTTTCACTGGCCTCACACGTTTCCCGAGCTAGAAGCCTGGGAATAAGATGCCCCCATTTTTGAAGGTATCTTTTGCGTAACCTTTGCGTTCTGGCACTTGTACTACGAGTGACCGTATTCCCCGCAGTTGATACAAGCGCCACGCACTCGGCGGTCACGCCACACGTCTTCATCAAGACCTGCCTTCACCCAATCAGCCACTTTGGTCTGGTTGGAGGCGGCCTTCCCTTGGCTCTTTGGTTGGCCCTTCCCTCGGCCACCTGCCTTAGCCTTTACAACTGCGGCGAGGGTGCTACCCTCAGCGGTCTCCTCGCCGTCGTACCCTGAGTAGTCCATCAGGTCAGTGAGCTCATCGATTTCCGTTTGAGTCCCATCGGACTCAACCATCATCAACTTCGCCCCCTTCTTCTTCCACTCCTGAGGACTCTCTTCTTCTTCGTGTCATTCTGGGAGGGCTGAGCATTGCCTAGAGTGGCCTCTAAATCTAAGGCTTTCCTAGACAATGTCTCAAACGAATGGTACTCGACGCGTGCCTCACTGGCCAGCAAGTTCCTGATGTTCTCTGGAAGACATCTAACAAACGTAGTTAACAGGAACTGGTCACTGT